CCAGAGAATTGTTACTTAGGGACAGACAGAAACTTTACTTAGGGCCAGAGAATTTTTACTCAGGGACAGACAGAATTGTTACTGAGTGCCAGAGAATTGTTACTCAGGGACAGACAGAATTGTTACTGAGTGCCAGAGAATTGTTACTCAGGGCCACAGAAATTTTACTTAGGGCCACAGAATTTTTACTCAGGGACAGACAGAATTGTTACTGAGTGCCAGAGAATTGTTACTCAGGGACAGACAGAATTGTTACTGAGTGCCAGAGAATTGTTACTTAGGGCCACAGAAACTTTACTTAGGGCCACAGAATTGTTACTCGCACAGACACAGAATTGTTACTCGCACAGACACAGAATTGTTACTGAAGGCCACAGAACTGTTACAGGGCCACAGAACTGTTACTTAGGGCCACAGAATTGTTACTCGCACAGACACAGAATTGTTACTCGCACAGACACAGAATTGTTACTGAGGGCCACAGAATTGTTACTTAGGGCCACAGAACTGTTACTTAGGGCCACAGAATTGTTACTCGCACAGACACAGAATTGTTACTCAGGGCCACAGAACTGTTACTTAGGGACAAAGAAACGTTACTTAGGGCCACAGAATTGTTACTCAGGGACAGACAGAATTGTTACGGAGTGCCAGAGAATTGTTACTCAGGGCCACAGAAAATTTTACTTAGGGCCACAGAATTTTTACTCAGGGACAGACAGAATTGTTACTGAGTGCCAGAGAATTGTTTCAGGGACACTCAGGTTACAGACAGAATTGTTACTAGGGAGTGCCAGAGAATTGTTACTCAGGGCCACAGAAACTTTACTTAGGGCCACAGAATTTTTACTCAGGGACAGACAGAATTGTTACTGAGTGCCAGAGAATTGTTACTCAGGGACAGACAGAATTGTTACTGAGTGCCAGAGAATTGTTACTCAGGGCCACAGAAACTTTACTTAGGGCCACAGAATTTTTACTCAGGGACAGACAGAATTGTTACTGAGTGCCAGAGAATTGTTACTCAGGGACACATAATCGTTGAATTAAAGAGTATGTCAGACAACATGCAGAGGAGTGGCAGAGGAGGCAATTTTTTAGGAGCGAGCAGACGTGGCAGCAGAGGAAGGGGTCGAGGCAGCACTATTCGCAGCCAGAGGCCAGTGCTCCCGGTGTCATCCAGCGGTCGTGTCTCCACCGACAACCCTGCCGTCATTGATTGGTTGGCTCGGTCGTCTTCCTCTTCCCAGGTCACCTCTGACACCTACAGCCAACGGTCGGTGGGTACGTCAGACACAACCGTTAGTTGGCATGGCCCGGGAGCAGCCCACTGAAATCACATGTCCTCTACCTGCCCCTGTCCTTTGCTGTTCCCTCACCAAGCGAAGTATCGCATGCTGTGGGCTCAGCCCCACTGTACAGTGAGGAAGAGCTAACAGAGGGCGGTCAGGAACGGGGGGAGACATCGGCCTTTTCAGCAGCCAGGCGAAGAAAGTACTGGCGAGGAGAGTGACATAGGGTGCTGGCAGATTACGGGCCTCCCATAGCTGCTGCTGCCAGGCCCCTAATCTGCCATGGGCCCCTATATACCGCCGCCTCCTCATGCTGCTGCCAAGTCCAGAGTCTCTCATGGGTCCCTGTACGGCCTCCCATTGCTGCTGTCTCCATCGCCACACTCTGCCATGTGCCACTTTCAGGTCTCCTCACACACTGCTGGTGTGTAGAATTTTTTGACATAGGGTGCTGGCAGATTACGGGCCCCCTATAGCTGCTGCCAGGCCCCTAATCTGCCATGGGCCCCTATATACCGCCTCCTCATGCTGCTGCCAGTCCAGAGTCTCTCATGGGTCCCTGTACGGCCTCCCATTGCTGCTGTCTCCATCCACACACTCTGCCATGTGCCACTTTCAGGTCTCCTCACACACTGCTGGTGTGTAGAATTTTTTGACATAGGGTGCTGGCAGATTACGGGCCCCCTATATAGCTGCTGCCAGGCCCCTAATCTGCCATGGGCCCCTATATACCGCCTCCTCATGCTGCTGCCAAGTCCAGAGTCTCTCATGGGTCCCTGTACGGCCTCCCATTGCTGCTGTCTCCATCGCCACACTCTGCCATGTGCCACTTTCAGGTCTCCTCACACACTGCTGGTGTGTTGAATTTTTTGACATAGGGTGCTGGCAGATTACGGGCCTCCTATAGCTGCTGCCAGGCCCCTAATCTGCCATGGGCCCCTATATACCGCCTCCTCATGCTGCTGCCAAGTCCCAGAGTCTCTCATGGGTCCCTGTACGGCCTCCCATTGCTGCTGTCTCCATCGCCACACTCTGCCATGTGCCACTTTCAGGTCTCCTCACACACTGCTGGTGTGTTAGAATTTTTTGACATAGGGTGCTGGAGATTACGGGCCTCCCATAGCTGCTGCCAGGCCCCTAATCTGCCATAGGCCCCTATATACCGCCTCCTCATGCTGCTGCCAGGTCCAGAGTCTCTCATGGGTCCCTGTACGGCCTCCCATTTGCTGCTGTCTCCATCGCCACACTCTGCCATGTGCCACTTTCAGGTCTCCTCTCACACTGCTGGTGTGTAGAATTTTTTGACATAGGGTGCTGGCAGATTACGGGCCTCCCATAGCTGCTGCCAGGCCCCTAATCTGCCATGGGCCCCTATATACCGCCTCCTCATGCTGCTGCCAGGTCCAGAGTCTCTCATGGGTCCCTGTACGGCCTCCCATTGCTGCTGTCTCCATCGCCACACTCTGCCATGTGCCACTTTCAGGTCTCCTCACACACTGCTGGTGTGTAGAATTTTTTGACATAGGGTGCTGGCAGATTACGGGCCTCCCATAGCTGCTGCCAGGCCCCTAATCTGCCATAGGCCCCTATATACCGCCTCCTCATGCTGCTGCCAGGTCCAGAGTCTCTCATGGGTCCCTGTACGGCCTCCCATTGCTGCTGTCTCCATCGCCACACTCTGCCATGTGCCACTTTCAGGTCTCCTCACACACTGCTGGTGTGTAGAATTTTTTGACATAGGGTGCTGGCAGATTACGGGCCCCCTATAGCTGCTGCCAGGCCCCTAATCTGCCATGGGCCCCTATATACCGCCTCCTCATGCTGCTGCCAGGTCCAGAGTCTCTCATGGGTCCCTGTACGGCCTCCCATTGCTGCTGTCTCCATCGCCACACTCTGCCATGTGCCACTTTCAGGTCTCCTCACACACTGCTGGTGTGTAGAATTTTTTGACATAGGGTGCTGGCAGATTACGGGCCTCCCATAGCTGCTGCCAGGCCCCTAATCTGCCATGGGCCCCTATATACCGCCTCCTCATGCTGCTGCCAAGTCCAGAGTCTCTCATGGGTCCCTGTACGGCCTCCCATTGCTGCTGTCTCCATCGCCACACTCTGCCATGTGCCACTTTCAGGTCTCCTCACACACTGCTGGTGTGTAGAATTTTTTGACATAGGGTGCTGGCAGATTACGGGCCTCCCATTGCTGCTGCCAGGCACGTAATCTGCCATGGGCCCCCGTACCGACTCCTCATGCTGTGACGTTGCAACAAGGTGGAATTCAACCCTACATATGTTAGACCGCCTTTACGAACAGCGAAAGGCCATCACAGATTTCCTGATGTTAAAAGCGGATAAAGGTACTCCCTGTGTAACTTAGATGTCAGCCATTGGCAGCTCATGCGTGACACCTGCGCTTGCTCAGGCCCTTTGAGGAGGCCACGCTATTCGTGAGTCGGCAGGACTATGGGATGAACGACGTCATTCCTCTGTTGCACGTCCTGGAACAAATGCTGTTAACAATGGCTGGTCAGGGTGCGGTAGACGTGGCGCACAGATCTCAACGCCACATGACCCCTGTGGGGGCAGGACAGGAAGAAGAGGAGGAGGTAGAGGAGGACATTGGTGCTCAGGAATTATTGAGTGAAATGGGTGGTTTTTCCACTCAGCGGACAGGAGTGGAGGAGCAGGAGCATCTGGTAGAGGAGGAGGAGGAGGAGACAGAGGACCCAGACGCACCGTGGCAGTATGCTGTGGAGATGGAGGTAGGGAGTCCCTCGCATTCCTTGGCACAAATGGCCCATAGCATGCTCGCTTGCTTGCGTAGCGACAGCCGAATAATAACCATCAGACAGAGGGATGACTTTTGGCTGTCCACCTTGTTGGACCCTCGCTACCGTTCAAAAATGGTGGCCTTTTTCACACCTGCTGAGAGGGAGGCCAAAATAACGTACTATAAAAACCACCTATGTAGTCAGCTGGTCTCTGCCTTTCTGCGCCAACGTCCATCCTCAGACACTGTGGGCCCTGTGCGCTCGCGTTACGCTGCCATGGCAGCAGGGGAGGGGTGGGGTGGTAGGAGCAGTGGCAGCTCCACCAGCAGCGGCTGCCCTCAGTCTGCAGTCGATGATGAGTAGCTTTCTTCACCAGCGCAGTGAGGAAACTACTAACCAGCCGCAGCAGCAGCAGCAGCATCAGGTGGACCTGGAGCAGGACCTCAAACAACAGGCTTAGGCCTACTTGGACAGCACCCTGCCAACCGAGGTAGACAATCCCCTTGACTACTGGGCAACGAAACTTGACCTTTGACCCCCCAACTAGCTGAATTTGCCCTTGAAAGGCTGTCATGCCCGGCCAGTAGCGTGGCATCGGAGCGCGTGTTTAGTGCGGCAGGAGGTATTGCAACTCCGCGGAGGACACGACTGTCCACCCAAAGTGTGGAGAGACTCACGTTTGTGAAAATGAATCAGGCGTGGATTAGTCTGGATTTCAAACCACTAGTTCCTGACACAACTGACTAAATCCGCCATGAATCATGCCCCAAACATGTGCCACTTTCAGGTCTCCTCACACACTGCTTGTGTTTTCAATTTTTTGACATAGGGTGCTGGCAGATTTACGGGCCTCCCATAGCTGCTGCCAGGCCCCTAATCTGCCATGGGCCCCTATATACCGCCTCCTCATGCTGCTGCCAGGTCCAGAGTGTCTCATGCCATGTGCCACTTTCAGGTCTCCTCACACACTGCTGGTGTGTTCAATTTTTTGTCATAGGGTGCTGGCAGATTACGGGCCTCCTATAGCTGCTGCCAGGCCCCTAATCTGCCATGGGCCCCTATACCGCCTCCTCATGCTGCTGCCAGGTCCACAGTCTCTCATGGGTCCCTGTACGGCCTCCCATTGCTGCTGTCTCCATCGCCACACTCTGCCATGTGCCACTTTCAGGTCTCCTCACACACTGCTGGTGTGTTCCATTTTTTGTCATAGGGTGCTGGCAGATTACGGGCCTCCCATTGCTGCTGCCAGGCCTGTAATCTGCCATGGGCCCCCGTACCGCCTGGTCACGCTGCTGCTGGGTCCACAGTGTGACATGGGTCCTTGTACCGCCTCCCATTGCTCCCACTGCATGTGCCACTTTCAGGTCTCCTCACACTCCTGCTGGTTTCCATTTTGTCATAGGTTGCTGTATGGCCTCCCATTGCTGCTGCCTCCACCGCCACACTGTGGCTCCAAACACTGGTTTTGGCCCCGTGACTGGCCAAATGAGTGAAGTGTGCGGTGATTCTAAGATCGACGGCACTCATCTGCATGTCATACTGAGTGACAGTATTATTTCTCTTCCCCAGCAGACTCCAAGGGCATTTAAATTAAAGGTACAGTGTTCTGCACTAATATTAAGTCTCTCTGAAGCCTAGAAACACCCTTTTTTAAGTTAAATTCACAGCGAATTTATTCGACTCGAATCAAATATTGTCCACGAATTCGCCGAATCAGTCGAATCGAATTTTTCATTTCTTCGCTCATCTCACCAAATGGCCCTTTTTCTTCTCCATTCTCAGTTCCTGTCAGTGTGTATCTGCTTGTCTGAATGAGGTACAAGCACACAGATACACTGACAGGTCTTCAGAAGTCCTGCATGGTACCCACAATCTACTGATCATGGATGCAATGCTTTCTAGGCTCCTAGTAAAGAAAAAAAAAAAAAAATACCTGCAAAAAGATGTGCTAGAATGTACCACATATCCAACCACCTTCTAAAGGCTTTATCACATGGATCAGCTTAATTTAACACATGCATATTATCTATTTTGGCTTTTTTTAATATGTAAAAATTAATTAACACACAGGTTAACAAGGTAATGTGGTTCTATAGCCTGGACATTTTTTACCTTAATTCATCCCCAGCGTTGTGCCTGTCTGCAGCAGATCTTGTCCTCTTTTTCTCTTCTCACCAGAAATTTGGCAGCAGCAGGGGCCATTGGCTCCTGCTATCAATCAAATCCTGTTAGGAGGGAGTGGGGCCGCACTGTGTGTCATATATAGATGCACACAGCCCAGCTCGGAAGTGAGCTTACAAGTGGCGTCCCATGGTAAGTGGCTTCCTATGGTAGCACTCTGAGAAGAGGAGAAGCCTAGAGCGCTAGTGGGGGAATCCCAGAAGAAGAGGTTCAGGGCCGCACGGAGCAACACCACTGCACAGAGCAGGTAAGTATAACATATTTGTTTTCAATAAAAAAAGTTAAGCTTTACAACTGCTATAAAATATCACAAGGTTTTTCCTAATGACAATCTGAACTTCTATGAAGTGTCTATAGAGGAGACCAGACATTTAAACCATCCAAAATGGAAATAAAGTCACTTTTCATGAGATTGAATACTGATACATGATTAAAAAGGAGGAGTCTGTAAAAAAAAAAAAAAAAAAAAACATATACATACATACATACATACACACACACACACACACACACACACACACACACACACACACACACACACACACACACACACACACATATATATATATATAGGAAAAATATAAAATTCATGCCCAGGGGAGGACTGACAAACTCATGGGGCCCCTGGGCAATAGGGGATCATGGGGCTCCCTGTGTCCAAAAAAGCCATAAAAAAGGTACCAGGGGCATTTTATGGGGCCCCCCACTGACCCTGGGCCCTCAGACAGTGCCCGAGTGCTCTAATGGTCAGTCCGCCCCTGTTCATGCTTATAGAAAGGACAGATCTTTATTTACAGTAATGGCATTTGGAGGACAAAGCCTAAGGCTGCGGGGCTAGGGAGGGCCAGAACATGGCCTCAAAGGCTACTCTTCCGGCCACCTCTGAATTTTTCTAGCTAATTTCACCAGGAAAACTGTTGGGGAAACGGGGTGCAGACTATCTTAAAATCTGAAGGTTATATATCAGAAATCACCAAACTAACTCTTTTTTTCTCTTGTTTGTTGGTCTATGATGTGGAAAAGTAGTTCTGTATATAAAAACATTCCGCATTTAGCTTCCAAGGAAGTATTCTGGCATTGGTTTTTTACCAAAATAATCACATGACACATGGGTTGGAGCAAGCACAAATAGCCATTGGGGTTGATCTACTAAAACTGGAGAGTGAAAAATCTGGTGCATCTGTGCAATCAGCTTCTAACATCAGCTTGTTCAATTAAACTTTGCCAAATAACCTGGAAGCTGATTGCAAAATATGGTGCAGCTCTGCATAGAAATCAATCTCCGGTTTTGTTAGCGTAACCCCCATTGTCACTTAGATGAAACGGGGGGGGGGGGGGGGGGGGGGAGCTCTAAATACAGCTCTGGCAAAAGGGATTTTGATAAGAATTTTTTGTGAGACAAAATAAACACAGTTTCAAAATCTCACACAGCTTAAAAATTTCAAAAAAGGGTAAAGTAACTAATTTTTCTAACCTTAATTATTTTTAAAAGGCTAACAAAAGGAACTGTGGGGTAAAGGCCATAAACACATAATGTAAGTAGTTTACATGCTAGCTCATGCTGCTCAAGCAATTACTTTTACGTGTCCAGCTGACCCCACCCTGGCCTAGCAGACCTACAGAGATTAAAAACAGCACAAAGCCTTTCTCTTGTATAATAATACAGAACACACCGAGACCCACGCCAGAAATTAACTTTCTTCATCATTTTCTAGTTCACAAGTTCACAGGCATATTCTCATGTTTCTAACCCCATTGAAAGAAAATTGAAATTGATATTTTAACTGGTCTTCCAATACAGCCTGAAAATGATGTTGTTCGGTGAAGCACAACAAGAAAAAACCTCGGAAGATTCCTGGAAAGGAGGCATGTGAATTAAAAAACGAAAGCTTAAAAAAATCAAGGATGGAGCTGCTGTACTGAAGCAGGTTCCCCTGGAATTATGTACATTGGATATTTATCTATTTATAATCGTAAACTCTCTGTGGAAAGCCGTATACTACAGTGAAGGTCACAAAATGTAAATTCATAAATATTTTTTTTTATTTCATGAAAAAGTAGGGAAACTTCAATTCTCCATTTCTTTTGACTCCCATCAAGGCACAATGACAGAAATACACTCACGGGCCACTTTATTAGGTACACTTTGCTAGTGTCAAGAAAATATCCCCCACACCATTACACCACCAACCTGAACAGGTGATACCAGGCAGGATGGATCCATACTTTCGTGTTGTGTACGCCAAATTCAGAACCTACTATCTGAATGTCGCAGCAACCAGTCTGCTCATTCTCCTCTGACCTCTGACATCAATAAGGCATTTTCGTCCACACAACTGCCGCTCACTGGATGAATCCCAGTAGATCAGCAGTTTTTGAAATACTCAGACCAGCCCATCTGGCACCGACAACCATGCCAAGTTCAAAGTCACTTAAATCACCTTTCTTCCCCATTCTGATGCTCGGTTTGAACTTCAGCAAGTCATCTTCACCACGTATATGCTTAAATGCATTGAGTTGCTGCCATATGATTGGCTGATTAGCAATTTGTTTTACCAAACAAATGAACAGGTGTACCTAATAAAATGGCTGGTGAGTGTACATTACAACCTTTTAGGCACTGTACAATCTAAGCAGTTAGGCCTCTGCCTGTACACGGTGCTCTAAGTTGTATTATTCATCCTGATCACAAATGAACCAATGATTGCTTTTGATTCCTCTGCACTGTCATGCTTTTGCAATCAATACTCTCATTTTGTGTCAGACTCTTCATTTTATATAAATATGCATTACTCTAATATTCTGTGTTTACTTTATTATATGTAAAGCTTTTCAATAAAAAAAAATTAATGATACAAAAAAAGTGGGGTAATCATCTTTGCAGGTCTTCTATGAGGCATAAGCTCACAATTCAGAATCATTTGATGAAATCAATACACACGAAAGAAGGCGGAAGTGTAACCATAACCAAAACTTCTGTTAGTTTAAAAAAAAGATGGATAGAACCTTTGTCTGTTTCCCCTTTCGTGAAACTTCCTCACACTTCCTGTTTGGTCAATGGTACAGGAAGTAAGAGAAAAACTTCTCTAACAGGAACATGTATAACAATAAAAGCATTTTTTTTGCAACTGGCAAGGACATAAACCAAAGGCTTTAGAAGGCAACAAAATCTCTTTGTTGTTGAGAGTTTTTATTTTATTACTCAGCAATATTTACCGGTACTTTTAGGCCTCCTTCACTTGGGCGTACTACAGCATATCTCCATGCAAGGGTTGTGTTTGCCGCCACGGGGATACAAAGATGCTCCATGTACCTCCTATAGGCAGCCCTATTCATGTCAGATGGGAGGCAGCGACTGAATGGATATGAGAAAATAGCCAAAGTAATTTTGGCTATACTTCTTTAACAATAAGAAAATTACAGTGAGCACTATGTTTGTTCTGTGTCTTCCTGGAGCAATGGTAAAGTCCCAAACTACCTCCTTGCTTTTGCTGGATGTGAAGGACCTGCTGCTGCTGATGATCTAGTTGGCTAAACACAGATCTTGGCTTCTACTAGCAGCCTGGGAGGTGATTTGTACAAATGCACAATATGGCCTTTGCTGTGGGGTATATTTATAAGGTGAGAGTGCGCTCAAGAGGGCAACAAAGATGACGTTTTTTTCTGCTTATTTCTTACTGGACACAACTTTATACAGCATGTGGACTTTGTCATGACCTAGTGCTTAATGATTCATGTTGCACCATTTTGATTCTCATATTGCACTACTTTGATCCATTGTATGTAATTTGAACATTTGGTTTTTCACATACCTATTTAGTTTTGATTGGTTAGCACAGTAAATACACACATTAACTTTGGGTTAGTATTTATAACTTTTTTTGCTTGCAACTTAATTCTAAAAATTGTTGCTCATAATTATTTTTTTACACAGGGTCACACACATTTTATAATCTTAAATACTGGTTAAAATTTACATTTTCAGTTAGCTATTAGACTGCGAGCCAATCAATTGGAATCCCCTTACCTTTCACATTCTGCAGGGATGCATAAGAGGGAAAAGAGAGACAGCTCTGTATTAGAAGCCATACTGGTGTTTATAACTTATTAAAATAGCCACTGATGTGCAATTTTTTATCAGTTATAATCAGAGGCAAAAGACTAGATCCAGCCATAGAAGAGTCGTAAACCAAACGTTCTGTCGATCCAAAAAACAAAAAATGGCACATATGATTGTGCCATCATTTGTTTAGTTTTTCGAAACAAAATCCAGCATTTTGGGTCAGGCACTTTCGAATGCAACAAGAAATTTGTGTGTCACAGCTGGCATACTAATGATGCGAAAAACAAACTATCAGGAAGTTTTGTTTGGTTTTCAACTCGTCTATGGCCTGCTTAAGACTAACAATCAAGCACTTATTCTTGCTGTGATCCTTATA